TTGTTGTTTGGCGGGCCCGGGCTGGGGATTCAAACCCGCCACCTTAGGTGTATGTGGCTGGCGCCTTAGCCGTTTGAGCCACAGGCGCCGAGCCCCAACCAGTTCTTTATTATTAGACATGTAAGCAGGTGCCAATCTTTTGCTACTCATTAATGCCATAATAAATAGCCTTGTACAGGCTGAGTGCAGTGGCTCATGCCTGTAATCCTAGCGCTTGGGGAGATCAAGGCAGGTGCATTGCTTGAGCTCACCTGTTCAAGGCCAGACTGAGCAAGAGCGAGACCCCATTTCTACCTAAGAAAAAAAAAGAAAATACTAAAAAACTGAGGCAACTGGGAGGCCAACGCAGGCAGATCACCTAAGATACAGTGAGACCCCACCTCTAAACATAGCCAGGGGTTGTGGTGAGCACCTGTAGTCCCAGCTATTCTGGAGGCTGAGGCAAGAGGATTACTTGAGCCCTAGAGTTTGAAGTTGCTGTGCGTATGATGCCACAGCACTCTACCAGGGGTGACAAAGTAAGATTGTTTCAAAAAAAAAAAAAAAAAATCTGTGGCAAGACAATAGCTTGAGTTCAAGAGGTGGAGGTTGCTGTGAGCTATGATATGATGAGGTCATGGCGCTCTACCCAGGGTGACAGCTTGAAATTTTGTCTCAAAAAAAAAGCCTTGTGCATAGTTGTTTTTTTTTTTTTTGTTTGTTTGTTTGTTTGTTTTTTGCCCACATACCACAGTTACCATAGGATTTTACTAGGGTTACTGGATCAAAGGGTAAATACATGAGTAATGTGGCTACATATTGTCAAATTGCCTTGGTAATAGTTACATCATTTTGTCTTCCCACCAGCCATGCATGAGAATGCTATTCTCAGGTATATTTTGGTACCATATTAGCCTGAGGAGGCTGCAAAGATGAAACACAGACAAGGTTCCTGTCCCCCAGGAACTCTCTGTCCTGTAACTGGCAAACAAATAATGAATAACATAATAAGCAGAGGCAGATTTACCCTGAAGGTAGTAACACTTAAACTTCAGAGTCCCTCACTTATAAGAACCCTTTCAAATGCTGAAGCAATTGGTTCACAGGGCCATTTCGTAGTCTTTCTTCCTAAAGAACACATATCAAATTGTCTAAGCTTTGGGTTCCACAAGACCCAAATCCACCTCACAGAATTTAGAGTCAGCCTATCTTGGGGTGAGAAGGGACTGATCTCAAATCTCAGTTCTGGGCTCAGCGCCTATAGCTCAACTGGCTAAGGCGCCAGCCACGTACACCTAAGGTGGTGGGTTCGAATCCCCAGCCCGGACCCGCCAAACAACAATGACAGCTGCAACCAAAAAATAGCCGGGCGTTGTGGCGGGCGCCTGTGGTCCCAGCTACTTGGGAGGCGGAGGCAGGAGACTCGCTTGAGCCCAGGAGTTGGAGGTTGCTGTGAGCTGTAATGCCACGGCACTCTGCCCAGGGGGACAGCTTGAGGCTCTGTCTCAAAAAAAAAAAAAAAAAAAAAAAAATCTCAGTTCTGCAGCCAGCTTGAAAGGAGGGGCTCCTGTGATGTTTATTAACTGAGATGGGTTGGAAAGGGTAGCTCACCTGTAATCCCAGCACTCTGGGAGGCCAAGGGTGGATTGCCTGAGCACAAAAGTTCGAGACCAGCCTGAACCAGACTGAGACCTGGTCTCTTAAAATAGCCTCACATTGTTGGGAGGCTGAGGCAAGAGAATCACTTAAGCCCAAGAGTTTGAGGTTGCTGTGAGCTGTGATGCTACAGCAATCTACTGAGGGCAACAAAGTGAGACTCTGTCTTAAGAAAAATAAAATAACTGAGACAAACAAAAGGAAAAGGCTAATCTGACCAAAAGATATCCCTTGATTCTGATCAATAACACCACACAGATAGCTAGCTGTCTACACAGAGCTGTCCATATTTTCCCTCTACTTTTGAGGATGGGAAATAAGTCATGGCTCATGTCAGTATTACCGGCATACTAGTGAAGACTGATACACGAATGGCACTCAGGACAAAGTCTGAACAGATTACAGAGTCCTTTTGAGGTTTTTGTTTAGGCGGGAGGGGTTGTCACACTAGGTGAGTCTGTTCAAGGTAGATTCATCCCCAAACAAAAAACTTTCAGTCAAAAGAGGTAGAGGTGTTTCTTCACCTGTAAAAAACAGGATTGGTAATAAAGCCTCCCCTTGAGGGGCTTGGTTAGGATCAAGTGAGATCATTTATAGAAAGCCCTAATCTAGTCCTGGACTCTCAGAGTAAAGTCGGTAAATGGAAGACTGAAAACAAAATGTGTTGATCCCTGAGCGCAGTAACAGATATTCTGTACGTATGCTGCTTTTACAGGGTGCGGGGAGAAGGAATAATTCACTTACTAACAAATAGTTGCCGCAGAAGAAATGAGGGAAGGCACGGTCCTTTCTAGCAGATGCTTACTGATCTGTGTAACTAACTGGATGACCGATTGGTCCTGGTCTCGAGTGACCATGAGCCCCAGGGTGATGTCAGGCCCACTGCGTGCCAGGACCAGACTGACAGCGGTGTCGCAGTCGAACTACTCTGGCGGCTGCGGCTCCCCCATTGACTGTCCCGCCCCGAGGAAACCGCGAGACTGCAGTCGAGCGTGGCCCTATCCGGCTTGGGCCTTGGTCTCTTCCCACTTGCAGGCCGCATACCGACCCTACACCAAGAGCTCGCCGGGCGGGGCGCCATCGCCCCCTCTCTCTCCGCGCCAGGCAGCGGGCCCCCGATTCCTAGCCGCTGCAGCCGGGAACAATGAGGCGCCGGCTTCTTTAAGGGAGATACCACCGCACCGGCGGGGAAGGGGACAGCGTCTTCCCAGATGATCGCGCCCAGCCCCGCGCCGCCGCCGCCTCGGCAACTGCACCGCCAGCAAACATGGCTCAGTGACTTCGACAAAAGGTGCAGCCTCCCTCCGGGCGGGGCAGACGCCAGCCCTCCCTGCTCGGGCCGCGCCACTACGCGGACCCGCCAAAGAGCCCCAAGTCCCGCAGGCACCTGAGGCCCACACGGAAAAAGATGCACCAAGCGTTCCACCCTGGCGACCCCCGCACACCAGCCCGCAGCTCGGTAGGTTAGAATGGGGGCAGGGAGGAGGAGGGAAGTCCGCAGCCCGGTGCGCGCAGCTCCCGGCTCGGATCTGCTCCTCCAAGTAACTTCCGTGGGCCCTGCGCGCCTGCTGCAGCTGGAGGGCTTCGGAGTCCGCACGCAGAATGGGCTCCCGGCTCCCGGGCCCCGCCACCCCTGCCGGGAGGGGCACCAGTGGTGCGCTCCCGAGCGCGCACACCTCCGGCTACTGCGAGCTGGGCAAAGCCACGGGAAAGGGGAGGAGATGAGCGCAGCGCCGGGCGCGCGCCCAATGGACGACACACCACTTCCCGGCTCCCGCTACGGAAAGTCGTAGGGGGGCGGGGCCGTCTAGCGTAAGGGGGTGTGTCCGCGCGCACCACGGGGGCGCGCGCCGGTCTCTGACTGGAGGCCGCGGCAGCGGAGGCGCGAGCTATTCGATAATGGCGGCCTGCAGAGCCCGTGAGAAGGAGAGGCAGCGGCTACCCTGAGGTAAATCTGACCCTTAGGTGTGGCTCCGAAGCCCTGCTGCAGAGCCAACTGCCCTGCATGTGCTTCCCTCTCCAGGAGGCCTGACACGGACCTGTCAGCGAAATCATCCCGGGGAAGGCCCCGCGCCCCTCAGGCCACCGGCCCCCGGCCCCAGCTGCGGCCTCCTCTCACACCAGGGCCACCACCCCAAGCCTCGGCGTTCTGCCCCCCAGCCCAAGGAGTTGAGGCAGCTCCTGGATTGGCTACTGCTTCACCTCGGGTGAAGGCCTGGGGAGGATCCCCTCAGGGTTTCGTCTGATCCTGGTGGAGGAGGGGGAGGGCCTGATACTTGGCCAATGAGCGCGGCCTGAGCTGCCGCGTCGGACAACACCTCTGGCCGGGACTGGCCCTTCCGGGCCACCAGCAGGTGTATGGCCTGGCCGGACCCAGTCCTAAAGCTGGATTAGCATGAGTGCCCGGGAAATACCATCGTAAGCCCCTTAGGTTCGCACTTGATGCATCATTTGATCCAGGATTCCGTAAACACCCTCCCTCCTCCTCCTTCAATAAGGTGCACTTTCCTCTAGGGATTATACCAAACTGGAGATAGGTAAAGGATTGCTTCAAAATAATGAGCACTTTGAGATAGAAAGTAATTGGCGATCCACACCGAGCAGAGCTGGAAAGAATGCCTGCTGTGTAGTTAGCTGGGGCAGAGGATTCTGTGGCAGACACTAGGAATACAGTAGAAATTTGAAGGGTGGGTGATCGATCAGAGGAAGTGGAAGTAAAAGCAATCTCCGAAGTGGTCATTTTATTTCTTGACTGACTGACTGATTGATTGGGTCTCGCTCCGTAGCCCAGGCTGGAGTGCAGTGGCATCATCATAGCTCACAGCAACCTCAAACTCCTGGGCCCCAGTGTTCCTCAGCCTCCCAAGTAGCTGGGACGACAGGCGTACACCACCATGCCCTGCTACTTCTTTTTTTCTTTGTAGCTAAGGGGTGTCGTTCTTCCTCAGGCTGGTCTCGTACTTCTGAGCACAAGCAATCCTCCCGCCTCAGCCTCCCACTGAAAAGTAGCTCTTCTTAATTTCTCAGCCTTTTTGTTTCCCCAGCTGTAAAACATAAATATTGTACGATCTCAAGTTATTTTTCTTGCCCATGGTGACAGTCTTCACTGAGAAATTTCTTCCTGAAGCTGATTAGAGTCTTGAAATTCTCAGCACTGTGGGAGGCTAAGGAGGGAGGATTGCTTGAGCTCAGGACTTCAAGACTTGCCTGAGCGAGAGTGAGACCCCGACTCCGACTCCTAAAACAATGGAACAACCAAGCCGGGCACCGTGGCTGGCGAGCGCCTGTAATCTCAAAGGCTTCTGGAGGCTGAGGCAGCAGGATGCCCGCAGCCCGAGTCTGAGGTTGCAGTGAGCTATGACGCCATTGAGCTCTGCTCAGGGCATAGGGTGGCACTCTGTCTCAACAACAATTAAAAAAAAAAAAAATAACCAAGAATCTTGAAATTCTTTGGGGAGTGAGGAGGCACTTTTTTCATTTATTTTGCGAGAAATAAGATAACATAAGAAGGCTGGGGCGCGCACAGGGCTCACGCCTGTAATCCTAGCACTCTGAGAGGCCGAGGCGGTGGATTGTTTGAGCTCACAAGTTCGAGACCAGCCTGAGCAAGAGTGAGACCCTTGTCTCTACTAAAAATAGAAAAACTGAGGGAAGAGGATCGCTTGCGCCCAAGAGTTGGAGGTTGCTTAGAGCTGTGATGCCACAGTACTCTACCCAGGGCAACAGTTTGAGACTGTGTCTCCAAAAAAGAAAGAAAAAAGTCCAGGCGCAGTGGCTCATGCCTGTAATCCCAGAACTCTGGGAGGTGGAGGCGGGTAATTTGCCTGAGCTCACAGGTTCCAGACCAGCCTGAGACAGAGTGAGACCCCTTCTCTAAAAATAGTTGGGCGTTGTGGTAGGCACCTGTAGTCCCAGGTACTTGGGAGGCTGAGGCAGGAGAATCACTTGAGCCCAAGAATTGGAGGTTGCTGTGAGCTGTGACGCCACAGCACTCTACCAAGGGCAACAGCTTGAGACTTACCTCAAAAAATAAAAAAGGCCGACCGGGCGCAGTGGCTCATGCCTGTAATCCCAGCACTGTGGGAGGCTGAGGCAGGAGGATTACTTGAGCTCAGGAGTTCCAGGCTTGTCTGAGGGAGAGTGAGACCCTGACTCATGAAAAAAATGGAAAAACCCAGCTGGGCGCCGCAGTGAGGGCCTGTAATCCCAGCGGTTTTGGAGACTGAGGCAGCAGGATGCCCACAGCCTGAGTCTGAGGTTGCAGTGAGCTACAACACCATTGCACTCTGCTCAGGGCATAGGGTGGGACTCTGTCTCAACAACAACAAAAAGAAAGGAGGGGGAGGCTAGGCACAGTGGCTCACGCCTGTAATCCTAGCACACTCGGAGGTTGAGGTGTGGATTGGCTGAGCTCATTGATTGGAGACCAGCCTAAGCCAGAGCAGGACCCCGTCTCCAGAAAGCATAGCAGGGTGCTGTGGCGGGCACCTGTAGCCGCAGCTACTCAGGAGGCTAAGGCAAGAGAATTACTTGAGCCCAAGAGTTTGAGGTTGCTGTGAGGTATGAGGCAACAGCACTCTACCCCCAGGGCAACTGAGACTGCCCCCCCAAAAGATAAGAAACAAAATTAAAATATGAACATATATAGGTTGGCCATTTACTTTTAAATAATAACTAAATATTTTTGGTTGTATAAATGAGCTCTGGTTTACTTTCAGTCCTTAAGCATAAACCTTTCTGTGAGAGGTTATTGTATTTGCTGTTTTTTGACCTTTTATGTGTATGTTAGCCTTAAGGAGAAGCAAGGTTTTTGATTCCTTGTTTTTTTCATGATCAGTAAGAAGGCTGACTTTTTTGGCTTATTTTTAACAGTGTTGTTTTCAAGCATAAGAGGCAGTATAATGTAGTGCTTAAAATTGTTGATGTCTGAGCCAAATGGCCCTGTTTCAACCCCAGGTCTACCAATAACTGTTTGACCTTGGACATTTTACTTAACCTCTCAATGCTTTACATTCCACATATGTAAAATGACCATAATAGTACCTACCTCATAAGACTATTGTAGGGATTAAATAAATTTAGTATTATATAGTACCTAAAATAGTTTTTGATACATAAGTATTAGCTTTATTTTTATTAAATCTTCCTAAGATATAGGAGATATCCTGCACTCCAAACAGTGAGTCAGATTAGTAAATCATATGTAAGAAGAAATACAAGGTAAGTAGGTATACCTAATTTCAACAGAGCACTTTGTTGGTTTTTCCAGAAACCTCGACCTTGAAGATGGTGAGTAGCCAGCCAAAGTACGATCTAATACGGGAGGTAGGCCGAGGTAGTTACGGTGTTGTGTATGAAGCAGTCATCAGAAAGACCTCTGCACGGGTGGCAGTGAAGAAAATTCGATGCCATGCACCTGAAAATGTTGAACTAGCCCTTCGTGAGTTCTGGGCACTAAGCAGTATCAAGAGCCAACACCCAAATGTGATTCACTTGGAGGAATGCATCCTACAAAAAGATGGGATGGTGCAAAAGATGTCCCACGGCTCTAATTCTTCCCTTTATTTACAGGTATGTGTTGTTGAATGAGAAATAGAAATGACATGAACACCACACTGGAGAAAGGCCTTATGAAAAATAAAAAGAAAGAAATGAACATAGCATTGGTCAACAAGAAGAGGAATGAAAGGGTCAAATGAAAGTCTCCCTTTAAATGCAAGTGTTTTGTAGTTAGGACTAGATAGAGGGTCTGCCAAGAATTGAGATGTTTGCTTTAAAACAAGGTTTTATTTAAACCAGTGATGCACATACCTAAAAATAACTGAAGCCACCTGTTATGGATTGGTACTTGCCAGTCTGCATAGGATGGGGCAAGATAGAAGCTAGAGAATTGCTTGAGACTAGAGTCTAATAAATTCACTTTTTTGAAATCAATGTTTTTGGAACTGAAGACCGAAGAAAAGGAAAAACTCAACAACCAATAGCAACACACCCATAGGTAATTCGACATCTCTTGCATAAATTCATGCAATTCCAGTTAATTTTCATGATGTAGTTTAACACCTGAATGTTATCAAAGGTGTTAAGTGCTAACATTTGTGCTCTACTTGGTTCTATAATCTGTGCTGATTGCCTTAAAGGCAGTTGCTCAAAACAATACTATGAGGAAAATACTATTATCTTCATTACAGATGAAGAAACTAAAGCTTAGAATAGAGAATGAATTTATCCAAAGTCACATACCGTGTTTCCCCAAAAATAAAACACTGTCTTATATGTATATATATATATATATATATTTTTTTTTTTTAAAGAAGTGTCTTGAAAAAAGACACTAGGGCTTATTTTCAGGGGATGTCTTACTCTCTGTGCCGAAATGCATGGCGTGGCTAGGCAGATATGTTGCATAGCAATGTCCATCACTAGGTCTTATTATTGGGGTATGGCTTATATTTAACAAATGCATAGAAATCCTGCTAGGGCTTATTTTGGGGGTAGGTCTTATTTTGGGGAAAACACGGTAGCTAGTAAGCAGTAGAGTTGGGACCTGAACATAAACTGTTAGCTAAAGTTTATGTTCTCTTCACTTCCAAGTTAGTCTTTTTAGACTTGGGGAAAGCATTAATATAGGAAATATTGAGGTTGCAATGAGCTATGACACCACTGTACCCTGCTCAGGGCACAGGGTAGAACTCTGTCTCGACAAAAACAAAATATATATATATAGTGTGTGTGTGTAAGCTTCTGCCATAAATTAAAATCCCTAGTAGCACTATATTTTTTCTATATTGAATAGAAAAAATACTTAAGACACAGTTCATTAGAGGCCAGAACAGAATTTCTTCATGCTAGTCATTCTTAGAAAAGGAAATAACTTTCCTTGAGGGTGTCTAAATTCAGAATTTGCCATCAGACTTTTACCATTAAAGTCTTTTTAGGCTTGGCACCCTGGCTCAAGTGGCTAAGGTGCTAACCACATACACCTAAGGTGGCAGGTTCGAATCCAGCCTGGGCCTACCAAACAACAATGATGGCTACAACCAAAAAAAAAAATAGCCAGGCATTGTGGAGGGTGCCTGTGGTCCCAGCTACTTGGGAGGCTGAGGCAGGAGACTCGCTTGAGCCCAGGAGTTGGAGGTTGCTGTGAGCTGTGATGCCACAGCACTCTACCCAGGGGGACAGCTTGAGGCTCTGACTCAAAAAAAAAAAAGTCTTTTTAGGGGTGATACCCACTGTGGCTCAGTGGGTAGGGCACCAGCCCCATATACCGAGGGTAGCAGGTTCAAACCCGGCCCCAGCCAAACTGCAACAACAAAGAAAATATAGCTGGGCGTTGTGATGGGTGCCTGTAGTCCCAACTACTCGGGAGGCTGAAGCAAGAGGATCACCTAAGCTCAGGAGTTGGAGGTTGCTGTGAGCTGTGTGATGCCTCAGCACTCTACTGAAGGTGATAAAGTGAGACTCTGTCTCTCCAAAAAAAAAAAAAAAGTCTGTTTTTAGGCCGGGCAAGATGACTCAGGCCTGTAATCCTAGCACTCTGGGAGGCCGAGATGGGTGGATTGCCTTAGCTCATGGGTTCAAGACCAGCCTGAGCAAGAGAGAGACCCTGTTTCTAAAAACTAGCCAGGGGAGGCCAGGTGCGGGGGTTCATGATAACCGTAGCACCCTGAGAGGCCAAGGCGGGTACATAGCCTGAGCTCACAGTTCCAGACCAGCCTGAGCCAGAGTGAGACCCTGCCTCTAAAAATAGCTCCCCTTTGAAAAATAGGCAATGTGGCAGGCACCTGTACTCCTGCTACTTGGGAGGCTGAGGCAAGAGAATCACTTGAGTCGAAGAGTTTGAGATTGCTGTGAGCTATGGTGTCATAGCATTCTAAGGAGGGCAACAAAGTGAGACTCTGTCTCAAAATAAATAAATACATACATACGTACATACATACATACTAGCCGGGCATTGTGGCAGGCGCCTGTACTACCGCTACTTGGGAGGCTGAGGCAAGAGAATCACTTCAGCCCAAGAGTTTGAAGTTGCTGTGAGCTATGATGCCATGGTACTCTACAGAGGCAACAAAGTAAGACTCTGTCTCTAAAAAAAATAATAAATAAATAATGCTAGCCCGGCATTGTGGTGGGTGCCTGTAGTCCCAGCTACTTGGGAGACTGAGGCAAGAGGACCGCTTGAGCCTAAGAGTTGGAGGTTGCTCAGAACTATGATGCCATGGCACTCTACCCCAAGGATGTCAAAGTGAGACTGTCTCAAAAAAAAAAAAAAAAGGGGTGGCACCTGTGGTTCAAGGAGTAAGGTGCCAGTCCCATATACCAGAGGTGGCGGGTTCAAACCTGGCCCTGGCCAAAAACTGCATAAAAAAGAACTTAATTTATATTGAGGCTTAGAGCACTCTATACCCTGAAGTTTTCTGTCTTTGGACAGTGAAAGACTAGCCTCTATTGACTTTGTTTACTTTTCTGAAAGTGCTTATTTTGTAAGTTGCACTGATAGAAAATATTAGGGCTGGGTATAATGGCTCACACTTGTAATGCCATCACTTCAAGAGGCTGAGGCAGGATGATCATTTGAGGCCAGGACTTCAAGACTACTCTGAGCAAAGTAGCCCAGCTGGACAGAACATAAAATCATAAGGTAGGCATGGTGGCACATGCAAGTAGACCCAGCTACTTGGGAGGCTGAGGCAGGAGGATCCTTTGAGCCCAGGAGTTCAAGGTTACAGTGAGCTATGATTTCTCCACTGTACTCCA